GCCCGTACTCGGCGGCCTGCTGGCCCGTGAAGCGGCGGCCCTCGAGGGCCACGGTGCGGTACGCCTGCGGCGCCAGGCGGTGCCGGAAGATGGCGGCCATGGGCGGCTTGAGCGGCGCCCCGAAGAGCACCTCGTTGAGGCACAGGAAGCCCTTGGGGTCCGGGGCCAGGCGGTAGTCGTGCGCCTGCGCGAGCATCAGCCCGCCGGCAAAGGTGTGTCCGTTGAGCAGGGCGACCGTGGGCATCGGGTACCTGTTTCGGTTAGTCGGCGTTTTGCGTCGTGGGAATGAGATGCAAAGAGAGGACGACTTGCGTCAGGAGGCGCGTCCACAGGTCGAAGAAGAGCTGCCAGAAGCCGTCGGTGTTGATGGCGTGCTCGAGGTCCAGGCCGTTGGAGTAGAACTTGGGGATGCCGCTGGTGGTGACGACCACGCCGGGGGTGTAGCCGCCGAACTCGAGGATGTCGAGGGCCTGGAGGAGGGCGCGGCAGAGGGCGGTCGTGAGGCGGTTGTCGGGGGGCGAGACGAAGGTGAGCAGGTAGACTTGGGGTTGCGGCTGGGTGGCGGTGATGGAGCCGCCTGGGTGGGCGCCGCAGGGGGGGACGGGCACGGTGAAGAGGGACATTGTTGGCGGCGGGATAATGCTGAGGAGGATGATGGGGGGGGAGATTGGCGAAACAGGGAGAGTGCGACTGGAGTTGAGATATAGGATTGGGGATTTTTGGGGTTGAGCTGCGAGCCTCGGCTTGTGATTGCGACGGACCCGCTCCGGGGTAGGCACGGGGTGACGGGGACGGGGGTGGATCCGTCCACATGTGACTCCGGCCGGGAGTGTTGGGCCGCCAACCGCTCAGGACTGCCGGCTTTTTTTTTTTTTTTTTTTTTTTTTTTTTTTTTTTTTTTTTTTTTTTTTTTTTTTTTTTTTTTTTTTTTTTTTTTTTTTTTTTTTTTTTTTTTTTTGTCTTTTTCAATAGTGATTTTCCCGTGCAAGACTGGGGGTTGCGGCTGGGTGGCGGTGATGGAGCCGCCTGGGTGGGCGCCGCAGGGGGGGACGGGCACGGTGAAGAGGGACATTGTTGGCGGCGGGATAATGCTGAGGAGGATGATGGGGGGGGAGATTGGCGAAACAGGGAGAGTGCGACTGGAGTTGAGATATAGGATTGGGGATTTTTGGGGTTGAGCTGCGAGCCTCGGCTTGTGATTGCGACGGACCCGCTCCGGGGTAGGCACGGGGTGACGGGGACGGGGGTGGATCCGTCCACATGTGACTCCGGCCGGGAGTGTTGGGCCGCCAACCGCTCAGGACTGCCGGCTTTTTTTTTTTTTTTTTTTTTTTTTTTTTTTTTTTTTTTTTTTTTTTTTTTTTTTTTTTTGTCTTTTTCAATAGTGATTTTCCCGTGCATTGGGAAGAGGCGGTTCTATTGGAGTTTGTGCCTGACTGATGTCGACTTGGTGATTGATTCGTGTGCCGTAGTGTTTTGTCTTGGGTCTACCCGAGAGGGGGCCGAGCTGCTGTGTCGTGTAACTCAGAATAATCGCCCCGGGCCACACAATGTCACACGGCTTTGGCTGATGCCAAGATAAATTCATGCTAATTACCACGGCATCAGGCCCTTTTCATCTTCACGTCCAAATCCTGCCCCACTTTCCCGAAGCAGAGCTACCCCTGCACCCTGTGTGCCTGTCACTCGATCCGCTTCACCCCACCAGCTCAAAGCTGTCTTCTAATTTAACCCATTGGCATGAAGCGTTCACATTCAACACCCTCTCCAACGTCCATGACGCTCCCATCACCGCCGTCATGGACGCAAGCACGCCCAACCCGCCTCCCCTAGGCACCGATTCTGTTGCAAAAACAATCGTCTTCTTTCATCCCGACCTCGGCATTGGCGGCGCAGAACGCCTCGTCGTCGACGCAGCAGTGGGCCTGCAAAACCGCGGCCATAAAGTCGTCGTCTTCACCAACCACTGCGATCCGACACACTGCTTCGACGAGTGTCGCGATGGTAACCCTCTCCCCTCCCTTCTTGGCCCTTAAAGACTCCCTGCTAAATGAAACCCTCCCCAAGGAACCCTCGACGTCCGCGTCCGCGGCAACTCCGTCGTCCCGCCCTCTATCCTCTCGCGCCTGATGATCCTGTGCGCCATCCTCCGCCACATCCACCTCCTCCTAACCATCCACCTGACGGGCGAGCTCGCGGCCCTCAGTCCACGCGCCTTCATCGTCGACCAGCTCTCCGCCGGCCTCCCTCTGATGCGGCTCATCGCCCCCGGCGTGCCCATCCTCTTCTACTGCCACTTCCCCGACCTGCTGCTCGCCCAGGGCCGCCAATCCATCATAAAGCGCCTCTACCGCGTGCCCTTTGACCGCCTAGAAGAATGGAGCATGGGCTTTGCCCACGCCGTGGCCGTCAACTCCAACTTCACCCGCGGCATCGTGGCAAACACCTGGCCCAACCTACAGAACAAGGTGCCGACAAAAGTCGTCTACCCCTGCGTCGACACCCACACCACACCCGAGGCGGCAGCGGACGAGGCCAAGCTCGCCGCGGGCAAGAAACTAATCCTGAGCATCAACCGCTTCGAGCGCAAGAAGGACATCGGCCTGGCACTCAAGGCGTTTGCCCGGATCCCCGAGAAGCAGCGACGCGGCGCGCGCCTCGTGCCCCCCTCCCCCCTCCCCGCGGCCCGGGTCGGAATACTAACCGGACCGTGCAAAAGGCGGCTACGACGCCCGCGTCTCCGAAAACGTCCTCTACCACGCCGAGCTCCAGACGCTCGCGACGTCCCTCTCGCTGGCGCACCACACCGTCACGCCCTCGGGGCTCAGCTCGGCCGCCCTCCCGGACGACGCGCAGGTGCTCTTCCTCCTCAGCGTTCCCAACGCGCTCAAGTCGGCGGGCCCCCCCCCCCCCCCCCCGCCTGCTCGTGTACACTCCGACAAACGAGCACTTTGGCATCGTGCCCCTCGAGGCCATGCTCCTTTGACGACCAGCTTGCCGCCATGGGCGCCGCCGGCCAGCGCCGCGTCAGGGAGTTGTTTGGCCGGGCCAAGATGGCCCAGACGCTGGACGAGAGCCTGGACCAGATTGCGAGTCTCGCCGAGGAGCGGCGTGCGTCCGGTGGCGGCGTGGGCTTTGGTGTTGTGGCGGGGTTTATTGCCGTGTGCGCCCTTTTGGCCGCCTGGTTTCTTGCATTTTGATGCATATGGGTTTAATAGACTAGTTTGTTTTTTCTTTTCTTTTTCTTTTTCTTTTTTGCGTGGGAGCCTCGAGAATTGCTTTTGTCCTGGGTTGTGCATTGTGCCTGTCATGGAAAGACGGGAACATGTACCTTGACTTGTAGGCGTGTGAAAGCAAATAACGGAGTGGTACGTGACAATCTATAGCACACACGCGGGACTCTATAGAGAGAAAAAGCACATTATAGAAACCAAGGTCAGCACGGTTATGCACACAAACACAGTAACACGTCCTTTGCAGTCCCATATACATTGTGACTTCTTCATTATATACACCACATCAATACACAGGCTAAGTCTCTTCAAAAACAATAAAACAAAACAGATACTGATTTCGTGCGCCTGCCGACGGCTGGCTCATTCGACAGCTAACCTCCCAGATGTATCTATATATGCAATGCTGCCGGTATCATGCAATATTCAAACCCTGCTGAACAAAATACCCCGAGGAGCATCCCTGCCCCGGCCGCCCACGGACAGTTTCAAAAAAAAAAGTCAAAAGAACAAGAGAAAAATGAAACAAACCTCCTGACGGGATCCAAACGTCCATTAACCCCGTCTGCTGAGAGACAAATACCACCCTAGATCCATTCTAATGTGTCACGCCGGGGGCCTGCAAAGTCCCAGCGGAAAGAGAAAAAAAATGCAAAAACAGACGAGGCAAGAAAGAAAATTCAAGGGCCAAACGCGCCGTATCGCCTAATGCAATCCGAGTCCAGTTGCTCGTAGCAGATTTGGGCCATCTCGTTCCACTCGTCTCCAAAATATGCCTGCATATTTAAACACATGGCTTCATCGAGCGCCATGCCTCTTCTACGCAAGGTACATCATGTCGTTAGGTCGTCAGTCAGTACTGTTGCGCCATTCATTCATCATTATGCCGGCTAGGAAGTGGCATCAATTCCATGTCCGTCTTGACATCATGCCGTTGATGCGTACGACGCTGAAAGAGAGAAATATTGGTTTGAATAACTTGAGTAACAAGAAAGAAGTTTGAAAGGCCGCAAGGCCCATCTATCACTGGTTGCGTCTTGCATCCAGTTCCATTAAAGGGGCAAAACTAAGAGTGGTATCGCCGTCTAATATTCGGGTATATCAGACTTCCTGACTCTTTGCAAAGCAAGGAAGCATCCAGGTAACCATCTTTCGTCTAACGAAATCGTGCACCAACCCATCCATTATGTGGACTTGCGTAGGTGCAAATATAAGGACCAGCGCCAGCTTCATGAGTCTCGAAGACGCATGGAATCTTCGCCATAGACGGACACCTTCTTGGCTGTCTCGTCGCTAGCCGTGCTCGCGCCAGTGTCGCGTCTTTTAGCCTCAAACGGCCGAGGGGAGTGTGACGCACTGGTTGGCGATGCCTTCTTCTTGGACTTTGCCATGAGGAAAATTCCGTCATCACTATCGTCGTCCTCGTCGACACGAGGCGTCCGAGAGTCCATGTCGTCAGGAGTGTGTGTTCCGTCATGATCAAGCTGCAGGTGTAGCGTGGAGTCGCCACCCAAGCTCTGGCTATGCTCAAACATTGGAGTCATGGGAAATCCACTAGCTGGTTCCTTGACAAGTGCAGGTGGCGTGATCGCTTCGGAGGATCCTTCATATCGAGACGTCTGTCCACCAGTGCCAGACCTAGCCGAGAGTTCAGCTTCCATGTCGGCAGAGACGGAACTGGCACCACTTAGCAGAGCGGGGAGTGACGGATCCGACTGAAACACTAGAAATCGTCCAGAGGCGGTCTTGGGGGGATCCGTATGCATAGGGCTAGTCGTCTCGCTTGGACTTGTGAGAGGCGTTCCCATGCCATCCATTGATTCCAGGCTAGATGACTTGGTCGTGGTCATGGTGTCATCTCTCGACGGCGCTGTCGGGTGCTGCGTCCAACCTTGCGGACCTGGTGATGGCGGATAAGGGACATTGGTGGGCTCGACTTTCTGGGGAGACAATACTTGAGACTCGCAGAGAGGCTCGACAGCTTGGATTGTTTCAGGGCTCAAAGATATAATGCTGCTCTGCTCAATCAGGGAAGGTGAGGCCTTGGCCCCGTGGCCTTGTGCTGCAGCAGTTTGCTGAGCATTGGCGCCAAATCCTAATCGGTTTTGGAGGTTTGAATCGGAGCGAGGCTGGCCGTGTTGGTACGTAGCAGAGCTTGCTTGCGGTGACGAAGACAACGGGGAAGGGGTGTTGTATCCCCCTCTAGTGCCTCTTCCCAAGTCTAGAGATCTAATGGGACCGGGATGGCGATGCATGGTTCCAGCTGCTGTGGCGGTCGAAACAGAACAAGACCCGTTGGTATGCTTATCTGTACTCATGAAGACGCCCCGCTCAGCCGACGCAGATCGGGAGCTGTCTTCGCTTTGGGATTCAAGAGCACGGGACCTCCGACTGCCATCCCGCGGGAGCTGTGGATGCACATCTACATGGGGCGTGACTGGGGTGGACTGCGTTTCAGGAAGAGCTGGGGCAAGCTGCAGAAACTGTGGCGCCATTTTGCGGTGGCCAGCATGGCGCTGAAATCGTCGAGAGCACGCGGTTGACGAGGAGAAGTCAGAAGCGCCGTTGCTGGCATCGTTGTTTCCGGGAACGGTCCATAGCTGATGGTGGCGGTGATCCTTGGCACCTTCGACTGGCCGCAAAACCGTGGCAAGGGGGTCATACGCACCATCGGTCTGAACAGTAGCAGTCGAGGGAGATGTGGTGGTCGGCTGGCTGGATCCTGCAAGCACGTCTTTGGCAACGCTGCCAAAGTAGTCCTCGCCACGAAGGCTTGGTCGCCGTTCAAAGCCGGGATGTAGGCTAGCACCCCCATGTTTAAGTATGCTGTCGCCAGCAGAGCTTGCTACGCTGCTGGTGGCTCGTCTTCGTGACTTGCTGTCGCTGCGTTCCACAAGCGGATGTATGACCCTGCCCACCGCCTTCTTCACGACTGATCGGGCTCGTTCCAAAAAGGTGAGAGGAACGACAGCGTGAGACATTTCTTTCTCGTCGACTTGGATCTTCCTGCCCTGTGATGGACGTGCTGGATCAGTGTCATCGAGCCAACCCACGACGTTGCTGATGCCATGGACAACCCAAGGGTGTCGCTTGATATCCCGGAGACGAATTCGCTTCTCCGGATTCTTGGTCAGCATCTGGCGAAGGAGGTCGTACAGTAGATTGTCCACGTCCTCATACTCTAGATCATTGTCATCCCGGTATGGATGTGCATTCTGTCTTTTATAAAGAGAGTGCTCTGCCGGAGAAGTGGAAGGATCAACAGGCTTTAAGCGGCGACGGGGGATGTGTACGTCTTCAGTTGCAATCTTTCGGAACATTTGGAATTCATCCTCGGCCAGGAACGGAATACGAGCGAAGATGAGACAGTACAACGTCACACCAAGTGACCAGACATCGATTTGCTCCGAGACTTTGGGCTGATGTTTACTGTCAACATCCGTATAGCAGAGCTCAGGGGCGAAGAAGGCAGGAGTGCCGACAGTCTTGGCCAGTTCCAGGTCGTCGTCAAAGTCCTTAGCTTCCGACTCGGACACGGTATCGTCGGGTTCACCGTCGCGAATGGGCCGCCCAAAGTAGGAAACACCAAAGTCGGAAATCTTGACACGGTGATCCTTGGTCCAAAGGAGGTTGGCTGGTTTGATGTCTCGATGAACGACGCCCTGGTAGTGGAGGTACTCCAAGCCCAAAACTGTATCACGGAATGTAGACCGAGCTTGATCAAACGTGAAGCAGGGGACAAAGGAATAGTCTTCGGCAAAGGGATCGTGTGCGTAGGGATTATAGTCAACAGAAGACATGTGAGAAATGATGGAATCGGCCATACTGGGAGATCGCTCTCGGAATTCCCTTCGAGGACCATCCTCGGTGTGCGCTCCGTGCATAGTGCCGTCGAGAGCCGTAGTAGAACCCGGAGCTGAGCGAAGAGGGCCGGGTGTCTCCATGTCGTCCACCCACGAAATGTCCTCGGCTAGTTCAGAAGGCATCAACCCGGTTGACGCAATTGACATTGACCTCGAGGGGGCCACGGATGAGCGTCGCGATCCCGAGGTCGATGAGGGCCCGTCAGTGAGGGCGAAGTCTTCGTGGGACGAAATGCGAGACCAGTGCCCTACGCTGCTGCCCTCGTCGGCTGCACCATGCTCAACGCTCCAGTAATCAGAGGGACCGGCGAAAGTCCTGGCCATCTTGGCCCGCTTTAATTCCTTGATGGCTTGTCGGCGTTCGAGAAGTTGATTGTATTGCTCCTCCTCGGGGGAGGGCGCAGGGCCGCCCATTTCTCGTTCGACCCTGCGTCTCTCATACTGGCAGATATGCGGTAAACCCTTCTTTCGCCAGACGATCTCACCGAGTTCAACATGCTCGAGTACCATGTAGATCTTCTTGAGTTCGGGGTCGTCGATGACTTCGAGCAAGGCGACGACGTTGGGGTGACGGATTTTCTTGAGAATGGCAATCTCCTTTTTGGTCTTGTCCTGTGGCGACAGGGCCGTCACTCTACCCAGTCGTCGTTTCTTTGAGAATCGAGGAATAATTTTGATGGCGACATTATCGGAGGTTTCGAGATTCCGGGCAAGCTTAACCTTGCCGTGCATTCCACGACCAATCTCCTCAATGACCTCATACTGGTTGATTGACTTGCGGCCAGTGATGTTATCCGAGTCGATCAGGGCTTTGTGGGTTCTGTGAAGAGCGGCGTCAGGTTAGAAAAACGGGCATTCACGCAATGATTTGCAAGAGGGAGCAGGCAACAAGAGCAAGAGAATGGCTGACGTTTCCCGCATCCTCTCGTAGTGAAACATTTCGTTTTCGGGAGACGGCACGGACGGCGGCGCGGAGAAGGGGGGGTGGGGGATGATCATGAGGCGATGGTGGGCGGTAGTCGACTTACTCTCTAACTCGATGAGTCTGCAACGGGTGAAGAAACGGGCTGCTTCCAATTGGCGCCGGCGTATTACATTCGGAGACGGAAGTGTAGGGAAGGTTGGTGAGGTTGGGTCGCGAGGCAGACGGGCTGAAGAGGCCGGGGGAGGATACGGGCGTACTGCTGGCGGTACGAAGCGGCAACGATGTCGACTGCGGGAGATGAGTATGCAGAGGCTGCAGCGCAGTCGGCTCCGGCGGGGGTTGTGATGATTGTTGTTGTGGTCTGTGTGATGAGTCCATCGTGCAATCCATTTACAAGATGGTCGTCGCTCGATTCGACATGCTGGTGGGCAAGCTGGCCCAAGGAGGCTGGGTATGAGCGCCGACCAGAATACTATCGCCGCATGACCGTGAGCTGCGTCGTCGTCGAGTCGATCAAGGCATACAGCAAAGGCAGGGCGAGGTCGCAACGGCGGCTTGGAGCAGAGCGGTGTGAAGCAGAGGCGTGTCAGCGAAGTTGCGAGGCTCACAAGAGTGGTGAGGCGACGGCGGCGGCGTCGGCGGCGAGGTGTTACAGGTATTAAGAGAAAAGTGATGAAGATGAGTGGGATGCAAGTACGGAGTAGAGTCTCGTACAAGTCGAGCAAATTGGCAGCAGAGGTTTGTCTTGGATTGCGATGGGTAAGTGGTGGATGCGGGCTGGTCAAGAAGGAAATGATTGACCTGGCCGGGGAGAGGAGGGGAGGGAAAGAGGACCACCCCCACTACTACGTCTTGGTGCGCAAGGTTAGCAAGTTTAGCATCAGCTTGGGTGGCAGGAGCGATCGAGGACTGAGGCGTCGAGGTACTCGGTACTCGGTACTCGGTACTTGCGCCATGTGCGACAAAGTGCCTACGAGGTAGATGACCAGGTACCTACCTAGGTAGGTATCTCTCCAAGTGCCAATTTCACTCACTCGCTTCCTCCATACAGAGCAGCATCCTGGCGAGAGACCACAATGTTATTACACGCAGCTCGATTAGACATGATGAGCACATGGAGTGAACGTGAGCAGTTAACGAGGGCAACACGCGAGTGAACAAGTGCAGTCACTTGCAGCACAGTGCAGGTACCGCTCTCTGGCACGCAACTCGACAGGGGCTGGAGGCTTGGGCTGGCCTTTTTTTTTTAAAGACACGCTATTATTTGGCTTGGCCTCCCAAAACTCTCCTTCGTCGGCGACCATGACATGGGACGGACGGGGTTGGACCGGGCCAAGGCTTCCGGGCCCCAAGGTTCAATGGCGGCGGCAGACGACCGTAGCACTGGCCAGATCGCACAGTGCAGAGGCTGGCTACATGCGTCAACGCAGATACCAACTCTCCCGGCCACTCAGCTTGTCCGTGGCGCTGATAACGCGGTAGTGCGACGCCAAGACTTCTTGTGGTCGTGCAGCTGCTGATGGCACTGTGCGCCGACGTCGCCATACGCACGACGGTGTACCGAGCACGGAGGCGATTGAACCATCGACGCTGGCCCTCCATGATGATTGCCGTCTCGACGGTGCTGCGTCCTCAGAGTACGGACTACGGCCTACTAAACTTTGTTGCTCCTGTGCTGTGTCCAGCTCAGCTCACCATGGGGAACACATATTTTACAAGCCTCAGCCATGACGCCACCGCTCGCAGACCATCCCTCGATCTTTGCCTCCTGCCATGCGTCCTCGAGCCTTCTCATTTCCTTCTGCCACGACTGCTTGCGATAATAGCCAACTCACGTATCCGGTGGAAACATCGTCGTGCGATAACAAGTGGGTGCCTCCGTGGGACTTGGTACCGCTTGGGCCGGCTGACAAGGGGTCTTTAGTAGAACAGAAAGGTGCAGCAGCTGCAGCATGTGACGGCATGGATGGCATGGATGGCATGGGTCAAGTCTTCAAGCGCTTCCTCCAACTTCTCGGGGCAAAGTAGCTAACTATCCAGAATACTAGTACTACTCCGTACGGAGTACTTATTACCTATTCGACTCTTCCTCTCCCAGTCAGCCACCCAGGACGCCGCCTGGCCGTGATTTCGCTTGTGTGCTAGGTCGCTCGGGCTGTGATGTCGTGGGTACGGAGAACGGGGACTATTAGTTACAATGGGTTGAGTGTTGACCCGCCTTGGGATTGGGCAATTCTCACCAAACTCGTTGGTCTTGTCCCCAAGGGGCTTATCAGCGGCCCCGTCGCCATTGGTCCTCTTGTGCGACATCGCAGGCCCCTTCGGTGGCTTCACCTGTGGCTGGCCGCCGCCGCCGTAAACCTGCATCTCACTTCCAAAGAGAGATTTGCCTGAATTCTTGCAAGTCCGAGTTGGAGTTGAGAGGCGGTTTGATCGGCAGCCATGGCCCGTGGGGAGTGGCCAAACTGCCAAAGCTGACCAACCCAAGTCCAATCTTATCTGGCGGGTTTGGGGAGTTGGGCGGCGAACGCCATGCCGCAAATCTGACCAGACATGTGCTCTGAAATAGCACCAGTGATAAGCAGCGCTGTTTGCCAACTACTATTGGACTGCGAGTGTTGTTATAATTTCGGCAGGCCAGGAAGCGTCGTGAAAAGACGATACCCTCATCGATTCCCATCCCTGGGTTGTAGCAGTGCAATCGAGGATCGGATTTTGAATAATCCAGATAAAGCCCCAATGATAGCCATGTTCGATTGTTTTACGGAGTACTCCGTACAAGTTGTTAGTCACTCTCTTCGACCTCTTTTTTTTTTTTGGTTCCGGGGATCCGCATCCTAGTCTAGGAATCACAGCTGTGCAATTGTACATACTATTTGTGGAAATGGTTCCTGCCGCGTTAGCGACAACCAACCACTGGAAGGAAAGGAGCCAATCACCCAAGGGTATTGGGTGCGGACCCAACACCCTCTCAACACCGCCCCGGACTATCTCAATTCCTCAGGGAGGCGTTTCGATTTTCCACTGTCCAGCTGCCCGTGAAACTTTATCTGATGGTAAGCATGCCAGCCATCTCATCGTCTTCACATGCCCTCGGAGGTAAATGACACCCATTCGATCATCTTTGCTCTGAGCAGAGGTACAAACACACCAGCAAGTGGCACAGAAATGTTCTTAGCTCCAATACGGAGTGCCGCCTGGGCCGAGCCGTGGCACATCGTGGAGCTCTGGCCGTTCATTCAATCTCGATTGCATTCCGCCTTGCTATTCGCTTCGCACTGGTAGCTCAGAGTTGCACCGGACTCATCATGAGGAACAGGACAAAGGGGTGAATCAGGTGAATCAGGTGCATCTCTGTCCCCGTTCGACTGGGACTGGTCGCCTGCTCTTCTGTTGGGATATCGGGTTGTAAGCACTCCGTACAAAGCAGCTGGCGTGGGACCGCCAGCATGGAGAAGATGGAGAAGCTCCCATGCATATGCACAGTTCCGGCATTGGATCTCTATTCTCCAGCTTCCACCGTTTTTCTCAGCAAAATATTAGTCCCGACTGCTCCATACGTCGAAAAGGGAGGCGACTGCCACAGTGCGAGCTGAGTTGGAGAGCTTGCCTTTTCCAGACGCGACGTCTGCCACAATTGGCAATGGTGCACACAATACATCATATCTCTGGCAACATTCCCAGCATCACTTTTGTCCGCGTCGCCGGATTGTTGGGATTCCATACCGAGCACAGAACACACACCTCAATCTACACATGGCGGGACACGATAGATGCGGACCGACTGTGGGCTGCCTAGGCCGAGAGTATCTTCTGGACACGCCAGGGTTTTTATTGCCTTACTATTGCCTTATTATTGCATCTGCCTGCAGGAACAACGCCGTATCGTCACGTCTTTTCAAACTGGTTCCGAAACGATTATATGCAAGATGACAATTGCCTTTACCTTGATCTCAGGTGTTGGCGCTGAGTATTGGGATGGTAGCCTTCGGGCGTATGCCCCAAGTGGAAGTGGCAAAGTGAGATTCACAAAAGTCATGGTTTAGCCACTTGACCACGCCGTTCAGAGGAGTGCCGTTGTAAGGCTCAATTTACAGACACAGAGCATCGGCCTTCCAATCGGCTCGAGCCCTCTTGCAACTTGGCAAATAACGATTACTCTGGATGCACCAATTCGTGCACCAGCAAAGCTTAGGGAGCCACCTACCAAGGCAGTGGTCCACACGGGCGCCACCGCCTCGCCCAGCTTGTCTGCTAGATGTCAGTCTCACGATCTCTCATGCCAATGTTCTTGGATTCAGGTTCCTAGGATCTCGTCTTCTCTCGGTATAGCCCGGCATGCTAGCTTATCACAACGACTCGAGTAGGCTTGGGTTCGGGAACGGTTCCCTATTCTAACCATGGAGGCGAGGGACGGCGCGCATTCGGCTCTTCTTCTTCCAGACACTGCCATTGCAATCGGAGTATATTGGGATTCTTCTGGACATTCGCACTGTTCTATGGTGCCCAATCTTACTGTACCAATCCGCACCGAGGTCGTCGCCTTTGTCAGGCCGACATGCATTTTTAATTTTGTCCATGGTCGAATGCGACTTCCATAACATAGGCGATGCGCCCACATCGTGCCAGAGCCTCAGGGTTCAAGGAAGACCCTATCGTTCATGGTCGTGCCGGAAATAGCAAAAACAAGAAAAGGATCTTTTTTTTTGCGCTCGCCACGTCATCTTCATGGCCTTTCTGCCGATCGTGGTCAAGGTGTGCAGCACAATCAGTGGCTCAACAACCGCTTGCTGTGTGTTATACAATATCAAACGTGCAGCCGTCGAAATGATGCATCAGAAACGGTTTCCAGGGCTTGCCTGTACCATTGCAGATGAATGAACCGTCAATCCACAGGCCCCCCGCGATCCGAGAAAATTTACCGAGTAGATCGACTTTCGTGGTAATATTACTGGCCCGGCAGCGCGTCTCCCGCTTTTACTTCTGCGCCGGACGTTACGTTAAACTACGAAGTACGATACAGGCCAACATGCTACGATGTAGCAATAAGGTTGTTCTGGCGACTGCATTAGTTCTACTGTCGAACGATGGGCCGCTACAACATGCCTACTCTGTGCGCCTGGCTTGGGTCGGGAAATATTTCGTCCAAGAGTCTGCCTACCTGTGAGTAAGTTCTACGCCTGCCTGCATAATCAATTGGTTGGCATGTGCGCCATGTTGGATGCTCGAACGCAGGCCTGTACACGGCATGAGATGGATGGGTTTTAAATGCCTCGTAGCCATTTGGCCCCTCCGACATTGTCCAAGTACAGGAAGCCTTGGTGCTGCTGGAAGACGGATGGAGGAGGTGTTTCATGGTGTAGCGTACAGGAAAGGTGGTCAGCCCTGATGCGAGTGCGATGCGACAAGTGATTGAACAGCCTGTTAGGGTTGCGTTTTGTGCATTTTCGAAGCATCCATGAAGAGTCGACGTCTGGTCTAGCCTCTCAACTTCCCCACGCAGGTCCACGATGGGCATGTTACAGAGTGTCCCCTCAAGAGACGTGACGGCTGGCGCGCCTGTGGGTAGGAATGGATGAATGCGGAGGAGGAGTCTGAAGTTGCTCTTGGCTCCATACATAAACCATATTCATGCGTTGTTGACTAACGACGGGAAAAAGGAAACAAAGGCTTGAGCCGCTCGTCCCGCTCCGGCCAGGACCACAGGGTCTCAGAACCCCAGTGCTGTCTCTCTTGGTAGTTGCCACTTTGGTCCGAGACGAACGGTTTGCGGCTTTGCCTTTGCCCTTGGATATTCTGCGTGGGCGTCACATCGTGCGTTACCAAAAAGACGTCAAAGGTGTAATGGTCACCGTCTTCCCTTGCTACTCTTTGGCGGAGACAACCTTTGGATGACGCGGCTTACTTCAACCATTGTAGGTGGACAGGAAAAAATCAAAGTTTCAGACATGGAAGGATGTTGACAATTTCAGATTATCATTAGGCTTTGGAGTATTACTGACGATGGGTCCGTTAGGCCAAGGAGCAGCTTCACATGTTTGTACAAGGGTTAGGAGAGAAGCTCATATGGCGAGAATCCTGCATAGACACGGTGAGGCGCAGTAACCCGTGTTTCCTCTGCGGATCGATCTTGGCCCTCCGTCTTGGAGCAGAGGCTGAAGAAACGGAATGTACCTGACGCACTGTGCCTGTATCGTCTTCCCAGGTACGTCCTCGCTGCGTTTCCCGATATTTCTGCTTGTGCCGTTTGAAGACGCTGCATTGTACGACGTGTCGTGGCAGCAAGTGCAAATAACTCTGGTGCCCAGTCCTCTTGCTCATCTTGCTCTGCTTGCCCTGGCCTCCACCAAATTTGGTTCTGGAGGCCGTTGTATTACTAGTGCGGCATGTTACGCAACTAGGAGTCTTGCATTTGTGATTCGTCACATTCGCACGCTTTGAAAGGATCCCGTCGAACTGTCCGGGGTGGCCCATAGTCACAAGCCAGTGCGAACTGGATGCATCTTTCAGACTTTGAGCACGGCATGAGTTGAACCATGTGCCCGCCTGGTGTAAACCATCAGAATTTACGACCTTGCGGAGACGAACGTATCTTGGGTACATACGGCATACGTGAGTCAGTATCAGCTTACGTAGATTACAGAATGAGATGGCGATGGGCGATGGCGCGTCTTTTGCTGACTGCATGGCAAGAAGGCGCCTGGCGCGGCTCGATCGACCAGGATAAAGAAGAAGAAAACGACCTGTCCTCGTCGTCAACAGACCGTCCTTTAACCGCCCCCCTTGAAAAAAAAAATAAATCATCAGTGCCCCATTTTTTCCCTCACAGACGAGTTGTCAATAATCAATCTTCAGCTCCACTGCCACGCGAGACTGATTGCCCAGCAAATGCAAGCCCAGACTCGGCTTAGACGAATTTTCCAAGCATCACACATCTCTCTCTCCGTCACAATCACACAGCGGGCTACGTCTGCTTCGACTGCTCTATTTTTCATCCCTGGGTTCATCTGTCTGGCGTCATGCACACAAGCTCCCTGCCAGATACGCGGAGGAGATGCTCCCGCGGTTGGTTCGATGAGGTCCTCGCCCGTTGGTGGCGCAAGCCTAGCAATACTTCAGCCACGCTTCAGGACCGCCGGTGTTTGGATGCCGCATTCCAACAGGTTGGTTGAAGACCTAGGTAGCCACGGAGTAGTTCGTAGCGGCCTGTTTCATTTGCGGAGAAGGCGCTGCAGATCGACGCGTGCGCTCGGCAATCGGGATGTAGCGTAATGAATGCACTGCGTCACTTGCGGGCAAAGAGAGTATAACCTTCATGTTTGGAAATGGCTGTAGCTTCAAGGCAGAAGATGCCCTGCCTGCCAAAGGCGAAACATGGTGCTCGCACACGCGGAGAAGCACTGCCCTGCGACGCCGTGACTGGTGTTGGTTTTCGAATACACGCCATCTCCGCATCCAAACTTGCGGAATTGTAGGCGGCAGGCAGCCGGTAGCCAAGTCATAAGCACCAGTCGACCACCAACCCAAGGCCGTGCCATCTGCCCTGTGAAAATGGTCGCAGTACAGACGGCTACTGGGCCAAACCGAGCCTCCTTGACCTCCCTGCGTAGTAACCGAGAAGCGCAATGCACATGCTTTGCCACCAAAAGAAACACAAGAAATCACCCGACTCCTATATCACCAAACTCTTATACATGGCTAGTCGGCAGTCGTCGTGGCAAGCAAATTACCCCGGCCGCCAGGTTTTCCCCCATCCCACACCTGCCAGGCCCGGTGCCTGCCCGGGGCACCACGACGCGTCCCGTGGTGGATGGTCGGGTTTTGGCGAGCGTCGCAGCGGGATCCACCGCCGTGTGGTCTGGTGATCGTCCAGTGTGGGTGAGCGAGCTACTTGCTGCGCCTGCCACGGGTATGAAGCTTGAAGCCTTTGGTGTTATTGTTCTTTTCTTCTTCTCGGGGCAGGTTGTAGGTCCATCGGCCAATGGGGGATTTTAGAACTGCCGCCCAATCAGGGGTGGTCGAACCGGCGAATCGGGCTGCTTTTTGTTTTGGTGAGATGAGGCTTTGTTGAACGAATCTCCCGGCTCGTCTTGTCCTGGGCCGATTCTTTTGTAGTGACCACTAGCGCCCTAGACTTGGCCGTCGTCTTCCCTACAATATGCCCGACTCTCTGTCGTAGAGGTTTTTAGGGGAGATGAGAGTGCTACAACCAAGTCCAGGGCACTGGTGGTAGTAGCCCATCATGGAAACATATACGATAGTAGATACAGTGGGGAGCTGAAGATTTTGTCCGTGGCTTCCGCTATTGAACTGTGATTGTCTTGTACAGACGGACACGTAGGGAGCCCGCGGATACTTGAAATACATTTGAATGGTGATGTGCGTCGTGAGACTGGGGCAACGGTCTATAATTGGCGCTTGACGGGGTTTCTGGCGTCCACACGTCGACCGCACGGTGCAGTGGGATAGTTGGTTCCTGGCTATTGCACTATTCCATCTTGTTGAAGAGGACCTTGACCTCGCGCAGCCCCGGCTTGGCCTGGCCCCAGATGACCTCGAGGGCAGAGGCGCTTCCGTCGCTGCCAAACTTGAACTCGGCGGCGAGGGCGGCGCCCATTTCCAGGGGCACATCTGCGGAGCTGAGATGGAGGACCCAGTAGTCCCCCGAGACGTGTCGCAGGAGCACGTCGGAGTCAATGATGATGCCGCTGCGGTCGCCGACGAGGACGGCGGACGCCGCGTCTTCGGGGTCTGTCATCTCCTTGAGTTGTATGGTTCCGTAGCCCGGGTCAAGGTATGTGCCGGCGAGACGGGTGGTGTTTTGGGTCGGTGGGGGTCTGGGCGACGTCTCTCGGGGTATAGCACGTCGACGGCGTTGACGATTCTGTCCCGGAGGTCTTTGAGCTCCTCCCTCAGTCTGGTGGCTCGGTTAGATGATGTGTCGAAAATCAGGCAGGCCATTTTGAAACAACATCATGACTTGCTGGCCTGACGCGTCGATGCGGCGGTCCTTGGAATGCGCCAAAGGCGCCTGTCGCTCCGTTGTGCGAATACATGGCTTGGCCGTGGAACACGGTGCGTGACCAGCCGAGGCCGTAGAGCGTCACGTCATATCCGGCCGCTGGTGCTGCTTCGTAAATCACACGGGGAGTTCGAATCTCCCCGTGGGCGAGGCTGGAAAACGGTCTGGTCTGACGCAACGGGCACTTGAGCCACTTTGCGTAGTCCAGCACGCTGGAGACGATGCCGCCTGCGCCGCTTGATTCCTGGATCGGGTCAAAGACTGCCATGTATTGCTTGTCCTCTTGATTCCACAGGTAGCCCTGGGCAAGCTTCTTGCCGGCGTCCCGGGCCTCTTGCAGGTCCAGGTAGGTTGACTTCATGCCCAGAGGGGCCCAGACGGCTTCGCGTAGGACGTCTTTGAGCCGCCTGCCGGTGACGGTTTCAACGACATGCGAGAGCGTAATGTACATGAGATTGCAGTAGTGGAAAATGACCCGCGGGGGGGCGGTCAACGGGAGATTGCAAAGGTTTCGAACAAGGTCCCGATTCGGCACTCTCTTTCCATCCTAGTGACGAGCCCACGCCATGTCGTGGCGAGGCATACCCGTGCGGTGACTTGCGGCGTCTTCCAGTGCCAAGTGGTTGGTCGCCCACTCGTCCTGCAAGACGAAGTCGTCGCGGATAATCGAGGAGATGGGCGTGCTCCAGCCCCCGTTGAGGACAGGATAGGACCCGTTCAATATCAGCTGAGCCAGAGCCGCGTCGACAAAGACCTTGGTCGTCGAGCCTCCATGCAACAGCATATCCGGAGTTGCTGGGTTGTCTGGGAGGACGGCAAATCCATAACCCTGGTGTCATGTCAGCGTCAATCGCCCATTACGAATATTGCTGCCATGGCTTTTCATCGTCACTCGCCTGGGCGTACTCCTCGTCTCCGTCGACAACTGCAGCCGACAGCCCCGGCACCTTTCACTCTTCCAGCAGGTTGTTGACATACATCCCAAGTTCACTTGTGAATGGGTTCCCCGAGCCCGCGGCATCACCCGGGCGGCTTCCCGTCGGGCACTGAAAGGATCAGCAGCCCAACTGCCATGTCCAACGGCCGCAAGACTGCCATGTTTTTGGATAAGTCGGAATGTAGTGGGCGAAGCAGCAGTCTGAGAAGGAAACGGCGAGGAATCGAAATTGAATGACGGCCGGGAAGTTGAAACAAACTCCCCCACACTCGCTGCATCATGGCTTTTGGTGCATAGTTCTGAGTTGCTTCGCCGTTGATCCGGCAATTCCCAATCCCGGCCAAGGGTGTAAGCTTCTTGTGCGACGTCGCTAAGTAAACTCCCTACCCTGCTGGGACTGGCCATCGACCCATCGACTCATCCACGTCTCCATGCGCTCGCTGCAAGGCTGAAAGGAATGTGCGCATGTCCATGATCCGAGACGATGAACTTGATCTGAAGTTTCAAGTTTGGTTATCCTACCTTCCTCACCCTTTGAAGTCGTTCACTTGGGCATTAACTACTTGGTTTTACCCCGCATGGCTCGGAGGAGGGTGCGCCGGGCGGCCATTGCTATTTTATATCTGCCAAGTGACGCGTCCAACATGACATCTAGACGGACGGACGGACCGCAGTGTGCGCCGAACACTTCTCTCCAAGTGGAGGAGAGAAACTGATTGATTTACAACGGTACGGGGGCACTGGCGTTTGTGTTTCCCTACTGTTCTCTTTGTGATATTTACCTAGTGCCTACGGAGTATATCGTATCCAACACACACCGTGGCCTGTTAGTTGCGACCCTTGATATAAAACGACTGTGTTTCGGCCACATCCCAGTCTTCATTCTTGTTCTCGTCGCCGTACGTCCTCAACGCCCTGGTTACAAACTGATAGTTCCCTGCTGGCGCGTACCTTCCCGAATCAAGCTTGCCGTCCCAGGACCACCAGCTGATTCCCCTCGAGTTCCAAAAGCTGGGGAACCCAAAGGGCTGGCCGATGGTCTTAATGCCCATGGCTTTGGTGGTGGGGTTCTAGGGCGGACACGTAGTCATGGGCACGACGTCGATTTTCGCCTGGGACGACCCGAGTGCGAGGCCAACGTAGACTGCTGGAAGGACGTCGTTTGCGGCGGCAGGAAGCAGGAACGTGGTGTTGTCGGGCGCCTTGACGTAGTTCTTGGAGTAGTTGGAGTGGAAAATCCAGGACTGGTCCGAGGCAAGCACTGTAGAGTTGCGCAGGGAGCTGCTGAGGCCTTGGTACGGCATCGAGAGGGACGAGACGTCTGTTCCGTTGACTGTGATGTAGCCGGACCAGAGGGCGAGACGGGTAGCATCAAGGCCGCTGGGTGGTATGGCCACGACGTCCACCACTACATGCTCGCCGGGGGCGACGGTCACGCTGTCCTGCAAGAATTTGAGACTGGCGTAGGAGTCCGCTGCCTCGTTGGGGAAGGCCATTGGATATACCGAGGCTTTTTGCAGTGTGTACATGGCCAGGGATGAGACTTGGCCGAGTCGATACGTTGCCGGCTCCTCGCCGGTATCGGTGATGGTGAGACTAAGCTCGCGAATCCGACGGTCGGCGTCATTGAAGAAAGACTAGAGGGCGACAGTAGGGATGTCGTGTACGCTGCGTCAAAAGCCTGAACCATACCGCCGCCTTGTTGGGCAGCCGGAGCAAATCTGCTGTAGAACTGCTTGCCGTCATTGGATAGCTGAGGATTGGCGGTAGCAGAGAGAAGGTTGAGGATGAGTTGAGGATCGCGCGTGCCTCTGACTTGCGAAACTAGGGCAATAATGGCAGCCGTGATAGGGCATGACATGGAGGTACCAGACAAGACGGCATAGCTGCCCTTGGCAACAGGGTACGTCGACAAGATGTTGCCTCCAGGGGCGCCGATTTGCCGTTTGAAATCCATTTCCCAGGTCGGACCCCAGGAGGAAAAGAAGACAATTGCGCCGCCGGTGACATTGTTGCTAACCTCCTTGTAACAGCCTGGGACTTGGAAAAGCTGACAAAGTCAATGTTGGACCCGGCCTTGAGGCTATTCACCCACGAAGCACCGATTTCAGGGGTGACCATGCCAGAGCCTTTCATGAGAGACGCAGAGTCGCCCAGCGTTGGGGCAAAGTCGCCTGCAACGTTGTTATAAACAATCATGTACTTGGCTCCTTTGGCGGCCTGGTTGACGGCCTTGTCTGCAAAGAGACAGATAACACGACGGACAAGAACGGTGTACTTGCTCAGATCAGGCGTGTTATCCGGTAGAGCAGTGCAAGCGTCATTGGCAATAGTGGTATCGAGACTGGTGGCATAGAGCGGCATGAAACTCCTTGAAGGGCCGGCGGTCTGGGGACATAGAGGAAGTCTGTCGCTCTGCCGCCATCGACGCTGTAGCCGGCATGGAAGTGCACAGAGGGCGTGAGAATGTTGTCGTAAGACGCGACGGCAGTGACTTCCTTGCCGTTGGCGGCAGTGCTTATGTAGAAGAGTCCATGATCGTCATCGTTGCCGACCGAGATGGCGCAGGGGACGCCTTGTTCAACAATCCGAGAAACGGCGACGGTCCAGGGCTCTTCAGTCCAGCCGCGGGTCCCGACGATGGATGCGCTAATAATCTGGGCACCATGCTCCAAAGCTTTATTAAAGGCGGAGATGAGAATGTCATTGCTGGCTAGGCCGTCACATCCAAATACATGGTAGGCGCCAAGGGTGACATCAGGGGCCGCGCCAGTAAACCCATGGGGATTTGGCTGAGCAGCGACAATACAGCAACGTGTGATCCGTGTCTATTGCAGTTCATTGGGTCGTTATCCGGCACCGGTGTGTTTATCCAGTTGTAGGCGTCGCCAACGAGATCGGTGCCGAATGCCACGAGACAGCCCTTGCCAACACAATTGTTGCCCAAGGCAGGATGCGTGTAATCGATGCCAGTATCAACAACGGCTACCTTTACACTTTTCAGTGGCCCTTAATTTGTCCCGAGTCATGACGTGGGGAGAGAAAGTGTTGGCGTTTATACCATCTCGGCTTGAGATCTTGCCGGTTTCTGGTATTCCAACAACTCGAACATTGTATTCGGGCACGCCAAAGAGGTCGATTGGCCAGACATTTTTGGCAGCTGGCATTTGAGCAATCTTCTCTGCCTTTTTCTCAGCATTTTTAATGTCGTGCAGCTGGATAGATACACCCTTGAAAAGCTTGTAGTCAAGTGGTGGCCGCGTCGTTCAGAGCTCCGAGCACAACTGAGGCGTCTTGAGCCTAGGTCAGACCACATTTTTTTTTCTGCAATAAATAACTAAATAAATAACATGAGTAGAAGAGCTACTTACATGGCCGTCTTGAAGTTTCCGATATATCCTCCAGGAACTCGAGCTGATGCGGCTAGGGCTGTCGCAGCGGCCGTAAGGAGCGACGTGAAAATTTCGAGCCTCACCATGGCTACAACCTGGGTAGAAGCGGATCACGACAGTTGCGACAAAGGCTGAATGAAACAATGGCATGAAAAGCTTGAAATCGCACCCCCCCTTCCACGGCGGCGTCGGCGAAGGCAGATATACACATTGCAGCCAACGACGGCAGGGAAGCCGCATACAGGCGACGTCGCGTACAGCCGAATGCTCAGACGATTGTTCTCTTGGCAATGCCGCGAGTGAAAAAGCTGACAAAGGGGCTAATTCAAACCCCTGCCAGTTATCTGAAGGTGTCTATTTAGTTTAATGTGCGTTGTAGCAATGGTCTTCGATACCATCTCCATGGACCTGCTCGATGCCGAAGGTGAGCAAATTCCCCAACGACATAGATCGATGAAAACGCATGTAATTAACCATCTTGGGCCCTAAATGTCCATGCGGGGAACGCATACACTCGACAGAGATATCCTCTTCTATTTTCATTGCCCAGCTTTCATCCGAGGCCGACGGCAAGAAAACGAAATTGTAAATGAGATGGATCCCGGTGATGTCCCGAGGCCAGCACACGAGGTCCAAGACTCTCGTTTCTACGGGTTCCTCCATGATTTGGGCTTTAGGCATGCCGAGATGTTGATTCGCTCTTGCACCATTGAGTTTGTCACCTCTTGTATCGGTAGCGCAGAGTGGTAATAGCTTCGGACCTCTTCATGGACAACAAACAGTCTCTGACACCGGAGCCGCATCCATGACCTTGTAACTAGGTTGGCTCTGCACGAAAAATTTGCGTCAGGACTTGAATTTCGACGTGCTCAACGGTGAGGACGGCCCCTAACTATTTTGGGCCCTTCATCTCCTACTTTATTGGGAATGGTAGGTCGTATGGGCAACTCGGACTGCCCAGGCCCCTTTGATTGAGGCAAATAGCTTTTATGATGATTACGTTGAACGATGTAGGCCGATAATAATTAGACACGTATATGTGGGCCTTGATGATATTCCGGGTATCTAAAGACGTGTGACCGCCGCATTGAAAATCCCAGATGGCATACTTCATGGCTGCATTGGCACGACCACACCCTTACCAAAGTAATTGCGGCCGATTGCAAAAAAGCAATCTGTTACGTCCAAAAGGCCTTGGTCCTTCGTAACCATCAGATAAAGGGGACTTCTCAATTGACTGTCTCAGCTAAACGCCACGCAGTATTTCATACCTGCTCATACGCTGCTAACATGCTTTGCGAAATGGTAGCCAATGGAGACCATATTCCTGGGGCATCTACAAGGATGGCTGCCAAGTATGTAGTGCGCGGTGCTTTGTTGCAAAGAAAATGATGTGCCTATTATACACGCTCTATGATTCAAAGGCTCTATTGAATGTCCCACATGACAGCAACGTCTGCTGGGCGTGTTAGATGGTAGCAGGCGACGAGATTTGTGTAAATTCGGTGCCAAGAATTCGGTTCATCCAGCTTCCAACGTCGTAGGAGTCTTTCCTTCCCAGGCCAGCCTGAAAAAGCTGCGTCTGCCAGTTGGAAATGTCATGAAGAGATCTGCTGATAAGCTGCCGTTCATCAAAGTTTCGCTGCCCGGCAATGCTAAGTCGTTCAATGATGCCATGCCTTGCTTCAAAGTGAATTTTGTGCTATCCCGGTGTTAGTAGGAGAAGTTGCTTCGAGATGTGTCTGTCATGCTTACATCAAATGGTAGTTCAGGCCGATGGCGAGGATCCTCCTCAAAAGGATGAGTGCAAAACGTGAACCGCGGAGTTTGTCCATATATCCAATCCTTGGATCGCAGTTCCTCATACCCACTGGCTATCCTTTGATCCTGTGGTGCGCGACTGTCGAATTCTGTCTGCACGTCAAAGTCACCATACATTTTGGCAAACTCTCCGACAACCGCGTCTTTGAACACCTCGACATCCAAGTCCACATTCCTCACTGGACTACGCACACTATCAACACCCCTAGCTTTCACAAAGGATTCTGCCGGCGACCGAAGCATCCCGGAGATGTTTGACAGATTGGGGCTGCGAAGAAGACATGTACCGTGGTGCAAAGATCGCAAACGCGTCAGCTTGTACGCAGAGCCGGAGATTTTGAATGTGCTGTGAGCTGGCTTGCCGTCTATTTGTACATCTATGACGATGTCGTGCCGCTTGTTAACGCTGGCAGTTGGTCGTCCCAGTGCCCTAAGGGCTCGCACTATCATTTCCGCATGTTTATCCCGATCAAACGCCTGTGGAGGGCAGATGACGCTGAAGTTGACGTTGCCCAGGTCGTGAAACACTGTTCCACCACCAGAGCGCCTTCTAACAAGCTTAACCGCAGAGTCTTTCCATCCGATTTCGTCTGGGCGGTTCACAATTTGCGCAAGTCGCGGTAGGTTGATCTCGAGCCATGGATTCTGGTTCCGGCCAAAGACGACGCAAGGCGAGTTAACGTAGAGCAATAAAATGGTCGACTCTGGCGGAGTTACTTGCAGCAGTCTATGCTCGACGGAGAGGTTTAGGAGAGGATCATTGGACCTAGATATGTAGACTTGTGTCTTGTTGGCGTGGTGAGCGGCAGCCTCGACAGAGATGAGGCGTGTCTGATGACATGTTGTCGTGAGGGCCGAGGTGACTCGCCTCGCCGAAGGGGTCCAGCGAGACATGCCACCGACGATATTGCGAGGACGAAGTGCTTAGCGAAGGAGCAGCATCGAGGCCATGAGATGTTGCTCCAGGTCGAGGAGATATTACGAGACTTGAGCTACCAACTGCGAGCTGTTCACCAGACAGGATATTCCTGCCTGGAAAGGAGATCAAGTAAGTTTACCTGCGTCTCGTCCCAGACCAGACAGGATTGACGCTTTCAAAGATACCTGCAGGATCATTTGTTGCACAATGAGCATACGGCATCAGATCAATACCTACCTAGGCAGGTGGTTTAGGGCTTGGTGAAGGCGTCCACGCGAGCTTTTCCGGCTCTCGTCTGGGGGTACGTACCTCCTGGACCCACATCCAATGGATAAATCTTTACCCTGACGTGAGGATGGTGTCATGTACGCGGGTACTCTGTTGTGAAATTCAATTGCGAGGCCGCTGGTTCCGCTGGTATCTCGCGCAATATTCTTTTTCTTGAAGTTATCTGATTATCACATTATTTTCTAATCGTCAAAGTCAATTGTAGATGCTTCACTAGGTCTAGTACCCGTTCCAACGGCACAGCACCAGAACTCATTGGCCAGCCGCCCTTCGTCCTGCCCCTCCCCCGCCAAATCCAAGATTTCGCCAGTTTTCACCACCGAGATCGGCTGACATCAGTCAAAAAACATCCGCTTTTGCTTCCCTCAGTTGTACTCACCATCTCACGAGACAAGCCTCAACAGCATCGATCGCCCAGCATGTTCACTTCTGGACACTACTTCCGAGTCACCACGTCAGCATCACATCTTCCCCTTCCCCTCTCCTCGTCTCGCCAATCCACCCCATCTGACACCGACTTCGCCAGCGCTGGCGAATCCCACGGCAAATTCGTCTCCTGCATCATCGACCACTGCCCGCCGGGCCTTGCGCTTGTCGAAGATGATATCCAGCCGCAGCTAAAACGCCGGTGACCAGGCCAATCGGCCATCACTACGCCGCGCAGTGAAAAGGACAGGGTCACCATCCACTCCGGCAACGAATTTGGCGGCAACTCGGCACCCCGATCCTTCTGACGGTCCCTAACGAGGACCAGCGACCTAAAGACTATGGTAATAAGATCATCGACCTCTACCCGCGCCCCAGCCACGCCGACTGGACCTACCTCGAGAAGTACGGCGTCAAGGCCAGCTCCGGCGGCGGCCGAAGCAGTGCGCGCGAGACCATCTCCGGCGTGGCCGCCGGTGCCGTAGCAGAGAAGTGGCTGACGGAGATGTACGGCGTCGAAATTGTCGCCTTTGCCACGTCGGTTGGCAACATCAAGCTCTTCGGCGACACGGGCGCCATGACCGCCGACATTCGGCGTTGAGCCAGAAGATAGCTCGAAATATATTTCATTCTAGACAGCAGCACAAATGTATTTCGCCACAGGCTTAACAAAGATTTTGCAACAAAAAGTGATTCTTCAAGTTAATGTACCGTATGCTGTGTGCGATGTTGCATGCCGAAACACACAAATGCTGCTGTAATTCGATAAATACTACGCCTCAACTTTCCATTTGTCATTCGTTATACAAGACAAATAAATCAAAAGCCCGTATCCGTACAGTATTCCGCTTCCCAAGCTGAATTTCAAAGTCACAAAACCCCCCAGTGCTATTCCTCCCTTTTTGTTGCTGTTGTCCCATGCCAGTCCCCGAGTCATAAGATACTATATAGTCCCATGTGATACAATCAAGAAAGCAAAAACCCAATGGCCCCCGCTGTGAACGCCACGCCAAACTGATCGAGGTGCCGTTTCTATACTGCATCCAAAGTATAATCAGGTTTCATCCAATACATCATTCAAACAAAAGACAATTTCGAAATTCTCTATAACCAACTGGCTATGTGTAAAAGACTCGGATTGTTGGTTATTGACCAGTCTGATTTCCTTGCCCATTGTTTATGTCATGGTTCTCGAATAGGCCGAGGACATCACTCGGAATGTACTCGAGCCATCCACCCATGAGATCTGGTTGTTGTAAGCCCAAGGCACCAATATCGATATCCTGGCTGTCGAATGTAATGCCATCCATGCTTCCATTCCCAAATGCCCAGGATGATTGATATGGCATGCCCTGTGCGTAATACACACTATTGTTAGCTGTGCCCCCACCGCGGCCTTGGGAGTTACCGTCTGTCAAATTGCTCGTTGGCGACGCGGCATATCCTTCATAGCTGGCAGAATGTTGGCTGACGGGAGTAAACCCGGAGGGCATGTAAACTTTTGATCCTTCGGCCCCAGGGTCGGAGAACCCGTCGCTGGCCCCTGCAGCATGGCTCTGACCGGCCGCATTAGATAGAGTAGACGGCTTTCTAGCCCGAGTCCAGCGAGGAGAAGTAGTCGGCCCAGTTAGATTTGATGGTGGAACCGCTGGCGGGTACATGCTACCTGGTTCTGCGGGCATGCTTTGTCTGATGGGGTCGTAAAGCATATTTCCAGGAGGTGTGCTTGCTTGACGTTGTTGAACACCCTGAGCGTGTTGATGAGCAGCATTATTGACGAGATGACCACTTGAATTTTGGTACATCAAAGTCAGATTCGAGTTGGGTGAGTTCGCCGTGCCAGCCAAGCTCCAAGCAATGGGTGGCCCGCCAACTTTCGGAGAAGTCTGGGTCAAATGGCCAAAGTCACCAGCAACTCCAGGCTGAATAGGTGGCATCTTTGTGCTTTCGTACTCTTCAGAAGTAAATGTCTCACAATCCCAGATACCTTTGGCCTTCTGGTCCAGGGCCGTGAGAATGTATTTAACGCCTCCCCAGTATGCATGCATCTGTTGCAATGAGTTATAGCAGCGCTGATAATTCTGGTTTGCTGCAGAAGCAAGGAGTGAGTGCCTGGAATGCTTAGAGCTTGTCGTCTGTGTCTGCGTGGCTGGACGCTTCTTCGTCACCGCTCGGGGGGAACTTTCCCTCCATGGGCCTTCAGACGCATTGGCACTTGATTCCATGAGGAAAGCGCATGCAGCAATGTAGATTGGCTGGCTGGTGAACGGGTTACCAATAAAGCTTATTGGGTCTATGAGATCGGCAAATGACAATATGTCGCAAATCGTTTTCGCACTGCTCATGCTCAGCTCGCGACTGTCGGGGAGGAGTTGGTGCTCACTCCGCAGTCCCCCAAAGGGTGTTAACAGTGTGGGCTGGTGAAGCACAATAAATAGGGCATGAAACCAAAAATGTAAAAGTATAAATGTCGTCCCTTGCCCAATGCCTAAATATGCTTTGAAGTTGCCGACATTGAACTGCAGCCGGGCATCCCAATTTTTGTACATTTTGGTAACCTCATGTTCCATTGTAGCAAGCTTGCGCCATTTGTCTTCGGTGAGATCGCGGATATCGCGGATGTTATTTAGAATGTCAGACACTCGTCCGTACAAATGGATGATTTCCAAAAGCACTGGAAAGAGCACCGGCCACCCGGTTGCAGGGTCTACCCTCGCGGCTGGAAAGGGCAGCTCAAAGTCGTCGTCCCGAAACGTTACTGGACGTCCAGTACCAGAGGATATGACTCTGTCCAGGAAGAAGACGGCCCAAAACGTGTCGATGCGCTCTTGTTCCACTTCCTTCTGCTCGTCAAGACTTAGGGCATCAGAGTCACTCGTCTTCCTATCCCCTGGACTTTCAGAATCTCCATTTCCCCGGCTTCTGTGTCTTGTGTACCAGGGATCTTTCTCTCCCTGATATTGGATGCCGACCCTCTTCTGCAAGCCTAAATCCACAGCCATCCGAATGGCAAGGCCGAGATACATCCATAACGCACTGTCTTGGTTGGCGCCGAAGCCTTCGTAAGCCATGAGAAGTAATGCTTGGACGGCTCCGACAGAGGGACATGGAAACGTTTCCACAGTGGCTTGTTTGGCTCGTTGTGCGAAAACCTGCCCCCTCTCCGTCCTGGGCATCTTGTCGTTCCAGCCCGTAAATTGAGGAATGTCGCAAAACCTGGCTCCAATGGCGCATATGGCATCAACGAGTATGGGCTCGACTCGCTTCTCCATCACCATTTGTACAAACTTGGGTTCCTTCAAGAAAGGATAATTGCAGCCCAGGTGCAGGAAGAAGGTTTTGACCAGAGACAGAATGAGTGGATGGACGGGTAGGTGACTACTGGGGTCATAAACCGGCATGTCCTCCACGGCAAAATCACTACCTACGGCAATACTGCTTCCACGGAGGCCACTCGGATTTGACAATGGCGATGCTGCGGACTGTGATCCCCCTGTAGACCTGCGCCTATCTCGGACAGATACGACCATTTGCTTGAACCCGGGCACAATCGCAGTCGGACCGAAATATCGAAAATATGGCACTCGATGATTGTAATTGCGGCGCAAAGTCGGTGAGCCTGGGGTGTCGTCCGAATTGGCTGAAGGGTGTGATGAGTGCTGTGTCGGAGAGATTGGAGGCTTAAGGGTGTCTAGTTCAGGGCGGGTGACGGAAGGTTTGCGATATGGGGATACGGAGCCTTGTTTTTTAGTCTCATGGCCGTTGACGTTGGCGACACTGTTGGTGGTTGGCGGTGTGGGTATAGCATCGGATTTCGCGCGCACCGTTTTCTTGCTGTCCTCCTCGGTTGGAATGTCATCCAAAGCGACGTCATCGTCTTCAGCAGCCAGTTTGGCTTCAAGCGATTCTACAGGAGCGTCTTTTCGGCTATCTTCTGGATATCCCTGACACTGATGTCCATTTTTGGTGCATGTCGAGCAGACCGGTCGCTCACCAGCGCATCTCGTTTTCCGTCGTCGGCAGGTCAAGCAACTGCGGTACTAGTTAGATTTGGACCTTGTGGTTGGGATTCGAGCAATATTCAGGCCATCCTGTGTTTCGGTGAATGGCGAGGCACACGAGGGGTAGTGGGAAAGGACATAAATGGCAGCTTTTTTTGGTGAGGCTGGCGACGCAATGCAGAGTCGCAGAGGCTGAGACAAGAGGACGGTAGACTCACGCGGCATTGATTCTGCGCCGCTTGGACGGCGGTTGGCCTTGGTTGTTAACGAAGCGGATCTGGCGAGGCGGCGGAGGACCGGAATCTGTCTTGTTGAGCAGTGAGGTCATGGTTTGATTAGACCATGACCATGACGGTTTGGTGTGGTGTGAAGGTGTATGTTGTTGTGGTGTCGTGGACGAGAGGGACACTGGGTGAGGCTCGCCTTTGTTTCGTGGGGAATGCTCGGGTTGGGCGTCGCGGGTCGGCCCAGTCGTGGTTCACGATACTTGGCGCAGTACGGGTCCAAGGCAGCAGAGGGGTGCGGCGCACAAAGTTCAGAAGAAGCCAGCGCAAAGCATAAAAGGCGAGAGGGCGAAAGAGGGGGTGCTTAAACCGAGACGTCAGCGGACATGGTGGTGCCGTGGTGCTCAGCGCTGGGCAGAGGGCAGAGGACGACCACGGCAGACGAACAAAGGACGCTGGATGACAGACTGATGGCTGACGGCTGACGGGAGAGGGACGATGAGGTGGTGGTTTTGTGGCGGCCTACGTTCAAGACTGTTGGATGGCCTTTGTCGAGCTGGTTGGACAAGAAGCCCGAGGCGGAGAGGTGCAGAAATTCCAGCTAAAGGCCAATACGACCTGATAGGACCTAGCGATGCCGACGTGTAATAGAGGCGTCTTCAGCTCCCGCGGGCCGCCAGAGCTGTTGGCTATTATTATTTGGCCGAGGCGTTGGCGTTGGCGCTGGCGTTCAATGATGGCGTTGACCGTTGACAGCTTTGAAGAGAAGCCCAGAGTGCGCATGTGGCGCCGGGTGCCAGTCACGCTTCTCAGGTTGCAAGGGTCACTCCTGGACATTGAGGGTCATGGAGTCCAGCCAACTCGCGAGGACAGGCAGAAGACCGGGGAAGGTGCAACCACAAGCGGGCCCAGGCGGGAGGCAGGGGTGTGTGGGATGTGGGCGGCGGGCGGGTTGCTCCTGCCCTGGACTGCGAGCGACCAAGTACGCATGTCCCATGTACCGAGCGCCTCACCAAGGGGTTCCATATAATAGGCACGACACATGATATGTGCACAAAGTCACTCTATTGCCCTGCCATTGTACCTTGTACTCGTGCTGCAGACACACAGAAAGACCTCGAGACGGATATTTGACAGCAGTATTCGAGGTGACTCGTCATTTTCTGCACCATGAGCTTTCTAAAGTTGGCCACAATCATTCCCCCTCAACAAAACCCATCATCTCTCCAAGGTTGCGGTTGGTGCAGTCCCGAGACACTTGCATTTCCTGCAAGTACCTACTTGCAGAAATGCACGTACAAGAAGCCGAAAACCTGTACGGACTGAGACAACCTCGCTGTCACTTCTGGTTGGTGTTGGCTGGGTTGACTCGACTCCGCCCAACCGCACCGTTTGGTCCGCACATCCTCCTCAGCTCGACTCGACAACGTCGGCATATAATAGTACAACACCGCTCGATGTGCGACTACCAGTGGAAACTTTAAAGCATGCCGAGTCTTCCGATACCAGACGACCCTCTGCTGTTCAATTGCTTGTGAATTGCGTCTCATTACCAAGACTACAATACAGACACTACCATTGACCTATCTGGGACCATCCGAACAAGGCAACTTGATGTAGAGAATGCATCACGACGATCCCTGCAACATCCTGCGCCTCTTCATGGCATTAGAACGGAGCCTAAACTGAGAAAAACCGGGGCAGTGTCGGCTCCAGAATCGGCGGAACGCTTGCTTGGCTTGTCGGCATTATCTTGTACAACACGAAAAGATGCCGACTCCTTGGCTCAGTCCTTGTGGCCAGGCTTCCCCAGTGATCCATCCATCTCGGGCCGGAATTCAGCAGGCCATACTCCGTAAAGTCCCCCGAGCTGTGAAGAAGGTTTATCTGTAGCCTGGCCGAACATGTGGCTTTCTCCCATCCCGCATTATTTCCTGGCTATTAGTTCGCAGATACGTACCTTTTTCTCGTCTTTCTCCCCTACCATTCGCTCATTAGGCGGCTGTGGCAATCAAGGCATATTGCGAGCAGGGGGGTCTAAAGGTCTGTGTCTGGAGAGCAGCTTTAACGTGTTACTAAATGTACAAAATCCTAGATAACAGTGCCCGGTTTAAAACCTAATAGCCTACATTTTATCTGCAAACGAAGGAATTTTTATTCAATGTAAGGATCTTTGCCAAATTCTTTGCGGGCCTGCTCGCCTGGCCAGTTAGCTTGATGCTCCCCATGACCCTCTAAACTCCTGGCAATCGATGTACACTACCAGCCAACAGGTATTCCATGGTTTGTCGATCAGACCTTGTGTTCACTTTGCGCATCAACATCGCTTGCATGGTGGAGTCATCATAGGGTCGATTCACAATGCGAGGCCGTCAACAGGGAGAGGCAATCACCTCTCTCACAAGGGTAGTTCAGCAACACAGATCGGCCTCTCGAGTAGTCATACTAGCTGACTGGAGTCTCGGCTGAAACCTCCCGGAAGTAAGATGCGGCTGATGCCCGTCAGGATACCGCATCTAGGAAAATATGAAGAGCTTGTTTTAGTGATACTGCAGTGCAATTTCGCCAGCAACAGGAGCCACCTCATGTCACACCATAATACACGTGGTCCGTTGATTCTGTAATACGGTGTCATGAAAGGGATACGACACGCCAGCGAAGTAGACTACGGAACAGGTTTTGTTGTCAGACCACGGCAGAATGCTAACTATTTTTTTCAGTGACGAATCTGCTTCATTGCAGGGGTTACGCTGGACATTGTGTCACCTAGGGACATTGGGGAATAAGGCACTCAATAATATTATACCAAAGCCCTGCGTCCTTTGGTCTTTGGGGAGTCGGAATCGCTTGCTTTTGGCACCTGTTCCAGGAAACATAGGCATCGCTTCCCTTTGCACAGTCCCGTCCACAGCCTCCTCATCAAGCCCATCAGCAATTTCACATCCTTTCCCATATCTGCAGGAAAACAAAAAGTTATTATTATCCAAAAACGATAGTCATGCCCATATCCTCGCTCACCCTTCTCCATAGATCCTTCTTACCCTGTCCCGGAGTGATGATCGCCCCTGGGCTGTGGTCACCGATCTCATCCGCCCGGTTCCAGACTTCTTGCACCACCTCCCAAGCTCTGTCGATATTTGTCATTCCCTGTCTTTGGCCAATGCCCCTGAAAGCTTTTCTGGCCAAATATCTATCTGTTGGTTCAACAGCCTCACAGGACGCAACAAACAAGGGCCATAGCAGTGCACCCATAGGTCCTTCGTGTCTCACAGTCCCCTCGCAGTGCACGAGGCTGATGGAGGTATGGCGCTGCACCGTTGGGTCATCTCTAGGAGAATCATAAATGGTTCGATGCAGGTACACCAGAGCCGAGTGCCTGTAGGCCAAGGCCGTATTGAAGATGCTTTGAAACTGCTTCATTCTAGCCCCGAAATTGGGCGTTGATTGTTGGAGATTGGTCTGCGGACCACGCTCTACTGGCAGCATCGGCCGCCATTCCTCGAGAGAAGACTCAACGGCGGCGCATTCTACGCCCAATCTAGCACGCAGGTCGGCAATACCCGAGAAGTCACCACGAGATGCTGATTCTTCAATACAGTTCTTTAGAGCAAGGAGACCCGATAGTCTGTGAATGACTGGCCATAGAGATGTAGCGAGGCCGAGCAACGCGTCCACACTGACAGGTGGCGATGATGAGCCTTGTGAGTCTGTCTGCTCAAGGAGCCCCGTGAAACTGTCACAGCTTGGATGATCCGACACTGGCGCCGTACCAGATGACAAAGCTGCAATCACATCGTAAAATCGGAACGCCTGGTTGGACAAGTTAGGTTCTTACCTCATGCACCTGATTTACGACGGACTTACTCTGTCTAAAAACAAACTCGTCTGGTCATTTCTGCTCGGCCCATTCCGCATTATTGCCATCGCACCCTTCAAATGACCTTCGACCAGATTCGAACGCTGTCTTTGTACGAGCTATGATACTGTGAGTTAATCAATGACGAAACGATAAAGACAAAGGTTTATCCGACTCACCACCTCGTAGTATACTAGTAAAATAATGGTTGCCAGCAACTCATTCTTGTCTGCATCATTGCCCTTTTCTATGAGTTTTGCCAGGCTACGAAGGGCTTCATTGTGAAATTGAATGCTCTTTTGGTCGTTGTCCATCTTCCAAACCCTTTTTGCTTCTAAGTGGGCGCTGGCAAGGGCATAAATGGCACTCTTAACAGCCGGACTGTTGTACGCAAGTGGAAGAACAAGTTGCTGGAATGGGTTTCCTTCATCTTCTCTCAAAACTATCAGACGGGAAATGGTAATGCAAAAATGATTCACAAGGACTCGGTGATGGTAGTCGTCGGAGAATTCCTCAAACGCAGGGGCATAAAACTCGAACAGCGGTGACGGGGTGGCTGCAGGCGCGGTGAGGGGGAGGGATGGGCTGTGTCTGGACTTTGAAGAGACATGGAGGCTCTCAGATAAGAGTTGGGTCCCATTACTCAACAGAGATAGTGAATCATGGCCGAAGGGGCCTAGAGAGTCGCGTCCACGATCTTTTGATATAGACTCAGAGGTGTCCCAAGGAATGGGGTGCTGCGTTTCGTGGGAGGTCGATGTCCTCGCCAACGTCAGCTGATGATCCAACGTTGTTTGGACTGACACGCAGCTCTTGGGATCCCCAGGAAGTATGGGGGGTTCTTCAGTTGATGCTTTCTTGTTGGCAGCCTCGATCTTGCGGCGCTGACGCGGCTTTACTGGTTCATACCGACACTCCTCGCCATGCTCCTGACATCTACTACAAGTTGGCCGAAGTTCATCACACTTCTTCTATTGTATATCTTGTTAGTGGCACCGACGACATTACACGGCGAAGGCAGAATAATACCTTATCTTTACTGCGTTGAGTTAGCGATGAAGACTGGCTACGAAGTCGTCAAGTCATGGAGAATACTCACCAATAGTTGCAACCTGTGTCGAGTGTGGGACAGCGATTAGCAGCGAGATTTAATGAGCGCATAGAGCGGACTGACAGGCCGCTGCACAGCTTAAACTAACTTGTGAGACTCACCAGCCCGTGATCGCTTTCTGGGGACTTTGGGGACAGCAAGCCTTGTGTACAGGAGCATCTTTTCGGCTGAAGGCGGTGAAAAGCTGCGAAGTTGCACGGTAGTCTTCGAAGTCATTCAATCGAGGCAAAACGGCAGTTGAGGGTAGCCTTGGCGACCCTTGCGACCCTTGCGATTCGCCTAATTAATTTGAACCTGGCGATTCCAGTGGTCTGCTGAGATTTGAGTGAAACCAGCAGCCGAAATAGCGTCGTATCGAAGGGTGGTCACTGGGTACGGCGTATGCTTTGAGTTGGATGAGCGAGGCTTTCCACAACAGGATGAGCCAACCACGATTGAATATGAATGGTTTCAAGAAGTTCTGGCCCGCCAGAGGCAAACGTCGTCACGCCCGTAATCTGACTACGGGGTTGTAGCTCCGCAAGGCCTCAGGGGGGAGGGAAGATAAGTAAGCCCAAGGCAGGACCCGATTTGTCAAGGATGAAGCCTTAAGAAATATGGAATCATCAACAGGCGATACCCTTGAGACGAAGAGGCAGGCCGTGGCTCTCCAAGGTGAAGGGTGGCGCTGGACTTGTTCTCCTCGTCCACTCAACATCGTGACATGGCGTCGAATTGTTTGCATGGCCTGGTCCTGTTGGCATCGTCGGACGAGAAAGGTCCACTTACACAATCCACCGTACTCGGCGTGACAACCAAACGCGCAACGAGGGGGATCAACGCTTTGTGCGAACCATAGCCCCGAGGCCCTCTCCTGCATGGAACTAGAATTGAAACAGGCATGGTTCACCGACCTGGCGCCCATGGTTGTATTCGCTGAAGCTTCTCGGGTGGAGAGACTGGGTTACACTGCGGGGATCCCTGATAGCTTTCGGCCAAGGATATCTTATGAGGGCGCCAAGGTCTTTGGCATGAACCCATCATCTGAAGTATACAGAACTGTGGCGGCATGGTGAGGGATGAGGCTTCGGGTAATTTGGAAGAAAGGGCATGGAACTTTCTGAAGCCCCCTGACTACCGACTTCGCCATGAGCCAACTGATGCTGCGGACTGCGGGAGTTGCTCTAGAATTCGGAGACGACAGATGCAAGATGATCAACAGCGGCTCGTTGGGCTTGTGGAGTCGGCCACGTTGACATCCAGGGACGATGCCGGCTTCACCAACGAGCCGTTTGGGAGTTCCTGGCAGAGGTGCTGGCAGAGCCTCTTTCCCAGCTTGAGAGGCGGACTTGTCATGTTGTATCACAAGCATCTTGTTGCATGAGGCTCATATTGTCCTATGTTATTGGGCTCTCTCGGTTACCTCATACTACAACGCTACCCTTTGTCCGGCAAATGCGATTGGCAAGCCATGGTCTCGTGTCGCTTGACGAGCAGTCCGCACTGCGCAGCCGTCATCAACGTGCGTCTTGCCCTACCCGTCGGACGATACTGACTAGTGTAATGTGGCATAGGCATGCAACGTATGTCTCGCTTATGAAAATCATCAATTGCCGACATGGACGCGACGCATTTGCCGCTGGGCGCCGCTCGCTACGAAGGGCTCAAATGCTGTTTCTCATCAAACCGCAATGATGGATGAATGTGCGACCCGGGACGGCATCTCCCACACAATCATCTCCACAACCAACATGTTTCGGGAGCCCAGCCGAGAGGATCAAGTTTCCCCAGATTCGCTACGGGCAGGCCAAGAAATGAGATATTACTATCCGAACGTGGTCTCCCAAACGTCGGGGTGCCCAGATCACAGCCTGTGGCGAACAGGCTTTTCCGAGCGCACTAATCCGACCGGAAATTAATAAATTTCATTTTCTCCTTTGCAGAAAAAAAAAATCCCTTTTGTTGCAACCGAGCTCGATCCGGTCCAACTGCCCTTCTCCCTCGTGGCCGTCTCCAACCACCGTGCCGCGCATGAAGCAGCCCTGCAAGTGACATGGATGTAGTCGACATCGCTCATTAGGCTTCAGGTTCTTCTCGACTGATACGCAAAGGCTTCACGGGGCCACTATGGACCAAACTAGCGCTTCGGCATGCAACATTCTGCTCCAGCCCTGACCAAACTAGTTTTGTCCCCTGCCACATGGGATATTCTCTCATTGCGCAGCTTTGATCTGGATCAATACGGGAACACGGCCTCGATACCTTGGTGCTATTTGTGCCGCGGCGAGCGCCTAGGTTCGTAAGGGCCGCGTGAATGACGCTCGATAGGGTATGTGCCATTGTGTCACGGTGCGCTCGAAGGCGGGTATTGCGGACGGAACGCTTGGGAGGATTTCATCCGCCGCTTCTATCTTTCCAAATTGGATTTTCAAGGAGCCAGGCTAGTGCTAAAATATGAGCCTAGTGGTCGTGGCGTATACCAGAAGATGGCTTTCTACTATTGGCCTGGCTAATTCCGTTGCAGTTGCTACATATTGATGCGTGATAGTGCTGGTGGATGCGGAAAACCCGTTACCCGTTAGCTTGTGATACAATGGCCTCGACGAGTCTGGGTGTTTATGAATCATCCATCGGTCGCAGAAGTCTTGGATGGACAGTTAGATGTGCCCAAAGCAGGAATACAAGCCACGGCACAGCCAATTAGCCATCAGAACCCACTTCCATGACGACAGGTTGCTATCATGTTAGGTGTGCTCGTCACCATGAGGTCAATACACAGGGTCGAGGTTGAGGGACCAGCCCGGTATTCTTTAGAGCTTGCGACAATATTTAAGCTTGTAATTCCAAGACGGCCATGGGGGGTGTTTTTTTGCTTGTACTCTCGCCGTACCGAGGCATTCATCATTTGTTAACATTGAAACCACCATGACATCCAAATTCAAAGACGGTATGCGCGACCCCTCTGGCCAGTTTTCCAGCCCCTGTCCGTCTAACAAATCAACAATAGAGCAAGACATCCCCGTCTCCAAGCAGACGTTTCCGGGCATGGAACGAGACATGCCGTCGCCAAAGCCCACTCGCGAGGAGCTGCCCGAGGCCGGCGGAACCGCGACAACATACAAAGCGGCCAACAAACTAAAGGGGAAACGGGCGCTGATAACCGGCGGCGACAGCGGCATCGGCGCAGCCACGGCCGTGCTGTTTGCCAAGGAAGGCGCCATTTCAACAATCGTCTATCTGCCCGAAGAAGAGCAAGACGCCCAAGACACCAAGAAGCAGGTCGAGGAGTCGGGCGGCACATGCCACCTCTTTTCCGCAGACCTTGTCAAGAAGGAGAATTGCCAAAAGGCAATCGACTTTGCCATGGAAAAGATGAACGGCATAGACATTCTATTCAACAACGCGGCCTGTAAGTCGGGCATCCTGGCTTGAGGAAAGAGTTTTTTTTTTTGGTTGGGGGGGAAACACAAAGCTAACCCCAGATAGATCAGATGATGGTGCAGGATATCCTCGACTTGCCGGACGAGCAGTGGATTCATACATTTGACATCAACATGCACTCGTATTTCTTCATGGCCAAATACACCCTCCGGCACATGGAGCCCGGCTCCGTCATTATAAACAACGCCTCGATCAATGCGTACATTGGCCGGTCGGACCTGTTGGACTACACCTCTACCAAGGGGGCCATCGTTTCCTTCACGCGAGGCCTGAGTAACCAGTACATATCGAGGGGCATTAGGGTCAATGCCGTGGCCCCGGGACCCGGTACAGTAGCAGACTGTAAAGAAAAACGTGAGCTAGTAGCTGACTGCGTCTAGTTTGGACGCCCCTGATTCCGGCGACTATGGATAAGAAGGCGCAGGAGGAATTCACTAGCCCCATGGGTCGGCCGGCTCAACCGTCCGAGATTGCGAGCTGCGTCGTGTTTCTCGCTTCCATGGACAGCTCGTGTGTGAGCGGGCAGACGCTGCACTGTAATGGCGGCGTGGTGGTGAATGGGTGAATTGGTTTTATGACGGTATTGGCTGGGTGCGTGGTAAGTTGGTCGATGTAGGCGGCACGAGGGAAAACAGACTGGCATGTTGGGCTTTTGCCAGCCTTTGGATGTTTCTGAAAGTACTACCCTTCTTCGACTGCTTCGCAGACTGACTTGATTACTGGATGTTGTAATATCTGGATTTCGTGATTGTATCTAAATTTGTAGTTTCTACGCATGCTGTTGCTTCAATTTGCCACACAGTCGCCTTGGCATGATGAACCTGGGCCGGGAGGACATGGTACAGGTTTTTTTTATGCCATTTGCTTCCGTTGACGCCATTAGGTTTCTCAAGTGTTGTACATCACATGTCCCGGTTTTTAAGAAAAGAGTCCAAGTCTAGTCTCGACACGAAATTGGATAAATTATGAGCCTCTGTCTCACGCCTGCTGTTTTATATTGCCAAACTATCAGGAACTAGCTGCTCCGTGTAAAAAATCGTTGTCTTCGGAGGCCAGCTACCCTTATCGTTTTGGTCTGGAAGCGAGAGGGCCGAGAACGCTGGTGTAGGAACCCAAACCCAGACATTGCGCCACCTTGGTATTCCAAAGCTAAAAGTGATATTGTACCCTTGCTCCGAGCCAGAGACCAAGGTCATGTATATGTTGGCTCGCGTCCGCGGAGCTTGTAACGCTGGACTGATCAAACCACCGCTCAAGTTCATCCTTGGCAACCGACCAATCATGCCGTATGCTGCGATATCCGACGATATTATTTCGTGTTCGTTATACAACGAATGGTGTATATTCGTAGCTGGATTTAGCAATACGGAAAGGGGCAGTCAAGCCAGTCACCACCTGGCCAAGTGATACTGGTCGCTCCCCCTTGAGCTTCACAAAGCTCGGCCAAGTGGCTTGTTTCCTTGTATACACGTGAGCAATGTCACATAGCACCACAAGAATACCCGCTTCCCGGGACCGAGTTCTGACGGATACTGACGGAATGATGTGTTTTGATCGTTTCGAGGTGGCCTATTTGGCAGGAATCAAGCCATAAAGTCGTCTTCCCGAATACGATAATCCACGCCGTATTTGTAACCACCGACGTCATCAACCCTGACTTATTCACGATACATGAAAAGCCCAATATCCTTCCTATTAAGCTACAGAAATACCCTGCTAATGGAGTGCTAGTAGCAACAATTCACAATGGTCTTGGTCTCTCTGTCCCACAATGCGGCTGCTTCTCAGCACAACGGGCATCCCTCCAACATGGCATCTGAAACTGAATGCGCGACGCCTTCGCTCTCCATTCATCGACTTACCCCCTTTACCATGTTAGAATTCGAAGGATCCAAAGCCTCTATAGCCGCTACTTTAGGAACAAGAGAAAGCCCGGTATGGAAACCGGAGAAAGACAAGTGGGCCGAGCAGATCTATGACAAGAGGTTTTGATGCCTTGATACATGAGGAACTAGCGAAATGCCCTTACATAAAGTGTCTGGCTAGTTTGTATGGAAGCCGGGACGTATGGTCGTCGCGCAGTCACGCTCGCAGTTTTGTTCATGTCGGCCATTTATTCCCGACCGGCACCTTTTCTACCGTCTGCAAGTGGCGCAGCGTTTCCAGGCAAATCGAGCAAGATTGTACGCCAGAGGTTCTCATCGCCCTAGAGCAGCTTCATGACGTAGACGCTTCTTATCGCGAAATCGAGGCTAAAGAATCACCCCTAGATTCCGTTGGACACGTCGTTCTCTGCGACATCGGTCCTCTAGGCAAGCTTGTAGCTCGTAGACCCGAGGACCGCCTAGGTGTAAATGGAGCGTCTGGAATCGAAGCTCATGAATATTTTCAACGGCCTTGACTGGTGAAAAGTTGCAAGGAGGGAACATGAACTCGCGGTTAAGCCCGACAAGCTCTTACTATGCTTTGAACAAAGAAGCCGTAACCAAGACAGCTTGGAAGGCTTTTTTCCTCAGGTTTGAGCGTGGGCGAGGCAACCAGTGTCCAGAGGGATATCGCTTTGTTGGCTGTCGCTGAGTCCCTTTACGTTGCCGGTGGGCAGAATGAGGACTGGGAACTGGTGTGGCAATATGCAGACCAGACATCCATCTCTATGACCCCCCCGAACCAGACGAGTACATACCGACACTCGTCGGGGTTGCCTACCTGGTTGATGTCGACCTTGTCCGGCTGCTGCATGCTCACGGCGCAGCTGCTGATGTCGGCTATCATGATCTTAGCATACTTCTTCCAGGTGGATCTTCGTTTGCTCTTGAGCAGTTATTCAGCGCGGCTCGGGCTTACTTGGGCAGTTATTAGAGACGCATGAGCTCTTTAACTCCGTACTAGGAAAAAATTCACCATGGGCGAGATATTTGCGATATAAAAAAAGGGACATGGGCCCAACTACGTGAGTGAGCATGGGGAAAAGTATCCCACGCTTCCATATCCCACACGCCCTGGGGTAAGCTATTGCAATCCGGTGCCCTACGGACACTCGGCAGCCCCTGCGAGATGAGATTTGCAGCGAGGTACATACAGGCTTTAGAGGCGGTGACCAGAAGCAGGAACCGCCTCTAAAGCCTGTATGTACCTCGCTGCAAATCTCATCTCGCAGGGGCTGCCGAGTGTCCGTAGGGCACCGGATTGCAATAGCTTACCCCAGGGCGTGTGGGATATGGAAGCGTGGGATACTTTTCCCCATGCTCACTCACGTAGTTGGGCCCATGTCCCTTTTTTTATATCGCAAATATCTCGCCCATGGTGGAAAAAAAGCACGCCCCGCCGCTGTGGTATGGCAGATGAGTGGACGCGGCTGTGGTGCGACGGCGTCTTGAGATGGAGGCTTGGTGGGCAGAGAGGGGATTGGAGGGCAAGTCGCGGCAAAGGTGGTTCAAACAGCCGCAAGAAATCGGAGACATGGGGGCAGAAATAACACGGTTCCTATTCCAAGAGCGGAGATGAAAAGTCAACATCACAAAGGAGAAGTAAAACAACAGCATGGCATTGGACAAGGCGGATGATAAGAACGGTCCTCTGACAGAAGATACTGTAAAGCTCAGACGACGAGAATCGTTATGGCTCATTCCGTATGAACCAGAAGCCACCCACTTGCTTTGTTATAAGACAGTTGTTACGAGAATCCAGTCCATATTGTCTGCCACGGTTGTGCCACGGACCAGACGGATAGATTTGGTCGTACAAGCAGTCGACAAAGATCAAATTTGCAAGTGCACACCCCAGACGCACGAAATGGCATGCTATTGACGAGACGTAATTCTCGCATAAAACAGCAGATAATTCCAAGCAATTATGCTCAGGCAAACCATCATTACGCTTAAAGATTGAATAGTAGCACCACAATTGCTTAGGGTAAAAGCCGCGATGCTTATGCATAGCATACATCAATAATGGCTGGCACGCGGAAACCCATGCAACGCCGAGGACCAAGTGCCCGTAATACAAAGATGGAGATAGCCGGTGCGAGCGAACCAGGGGAATAAGCTTGCATCTTTCTTTGCCCAGTTCTAGCCATGTGGCGCGCTTACTCTTAACGTTGTCGTTGTGTCTTTGGGAAGACGGCACTGCTAACCAAACGCAGAGGGTGACCGAAACGCTATGTGTACGACCCGCTGACATGATGATACTGTTTTGAGTCTCTCCACGTGCGTCTGGGCGTCTCCTAAACGACTTCGTTCCTCCAAAGACTAGGGTGCGTTGGCTTTGCATGCAGAGTAGGCCAACCCGTACAGAGTAAATAACCCCGACTTCCCCGCTGTGGGCAAAGGTTCTCCTTGTGCCTGGTGGCGCTCGGCGGTCGCCACGCCCGAGCAACCCGCCCAACCCGGCACCAAGTGCTTGACAGAGAGACCCGTAGTGCTTTTGCCAGGAAAGACATGAGATATGCTAATGTGACGTGAGGCGGGAAAAGAAAAAATAATTCCGATATCGACCTGCCATGGACCGCCATTTTTACTATGCTTCCTCAGTTGAATACTCCTTAGGCGTGCGGTGGGGAAAGCACTTTGAGTACCAAAGCCGCCGATCCGGCTGATGCCATTGCCCATTGCCAGTGGCTGGAGCTTGTCATCATGCATAAGTGAGCGGCGCGAGGGGACGTCACAAGATCATTCGCTGCTTATCCTGACAGATGTAACAATGATCCTGCGCCGGGTCGCCGGGCAGTCGACGGGAGCGTTGCCGAATGCCCCCTCATCATTTGCCCTAGTTGATTGACTCTGTGCTGTGGAAGGTGTTGTTTGAGCCGAAACATATAACACGCGAGCATTGTCGAACAGTCGAGTAAGAGCTTGATCAACATTGGCAGCAGACAGGAAAAGACTCGATGGTGAGATCAAGATGCTATGTGTATCGCCAAAAGTCGACTCGCCAACGGCTTGTGGCAGATTGAGACCCTCGTCTATTTAGTAAGCGGGCAACTCGCAAATACAAGCAGACACAAGACGTCGAGTTGATGAGGTCAGACGGCGATTTCAAAGACTTTGGTGAGGAGCCCGTCCAATTGAGTCATCTTGAGAGCTGGCGAGAGCCAACTGATATTGTCCAAGTGATACAAGGAATCGATGAGGGAAAACAAAAGAAAAAAGCAACGGCATGACCGGGCAGTCGTATCAAGTTCAATCATGTGGGAGATGACGGATAAGCAGGAAGAAAAACGTTTGAAGCGGCACCAGACCTTGGTCTGTTGCGTGAGTGGCGCCTGCCGGAGTAAGCTGGTGTCGAAGAAGGCAGGAACGACGGGGTCAAGCCTGTTTGCTGCATCACTACTCCGTATTCCGCAGAGGCCTCCTTTCCCCTCATAACGCGCAGCCCATCATGCAACGTCGAGTCGCTTTCCGACCGAATCAAGCTCAATTGGCTTTGCTGCTATGGCCTGCGAATGCTTCGTACACTCTCTGGCTTCTGTTTTCTGTCCTCCCGCCTCCCTGCCCTCTCCTTCTTTCTCCAAGTCAGTTTCTGCTCCCGTGCTACGCATCGTCTCTTCTCTCCACACGCTCTCGCTACTCCAACCACCTATTTCGGCACACCTCCAAAGTGACAACCATGGTGCACAGGCCAGCCCTACTGCAGTCTTCGTATCGCACGGAATAATGTCTAGGAAACTAACCACCTTTGAGCTGAACCCTCGGCGTTTCAAGGCGACGCGTCGTCAATCGACACTGGGGTTCAATGGGTTCGTCCTAGGGTGCCTCCTCTTTGCTTTGAGAACTTTCCGTACAACACTAACCCCGAATAGACGGGTGTTAACAGGCAGACCCCATTTGCCCCCGCCGCAATAGCACCAGCGCCGACCCAACATCCTCTCGTGCAGCTAGCTTTTGCTTGCCTGCTCACGTTGCCTCTGGACTCAGACCCAACATCCAAGGCACCTTGACCTGCCTCATGTGGGAGGTGGTGCATTTGATAGGTGGGATTCGACCCTGGGCCAGGACCTGAGCCCCCGGCTCGGTGCCTTTTGTCCTGCCTTAGTCAACGTGCCCAGTTGTGACCGTTCTTCTCACGTCCGCCTCTATCGGCTACCGCACCTGTGAGATTCGATAAACGGCTAGTTGACTCAACTCGAGTTGTACAGCTTATGCATGGGCCCCTGCCCATGTCCTCGTTGGATTGCTCCGTTGAAAGCACCAGTAGTAACAGCTTTTGCAAACCCAGCCTCAGGGCCGCACCACGTTGAGGTTGTATTGAGCATGCTGCCGGCTCGGCTGCATCCGCCAAGAATCGCAAAATTGCATCTTTTGAGTGATCCCTCCGTCTGAGCTCGTTCCCAATGCCCCAGTAGGCTAGTGGCATGGTTGTGCTTGGTCCGTTGGTCCTGCTTCTCATATATAGACTGCCTCTGCTGTCTTGAATCCCAATGGCCTGGCCCTTCTTGTCTTGTCACCGACTTCATGCAGGACAATCCCTCGCACATTACACTCAAAGTCGCCGATCGTATCAATCAAAAGTAGCTCTTTACCTACCTACACCTCAACATGAAGGCTGCCGTTGTTCTGTCTTTCGTTGCTGCTGCCGTTGCTGGCGCTATCGAGGCCCGTGATGGCCACTGCGGTGGTGATAACTGCGCTCGCCAGGTCACCGGTACCCGTGATGGCCTCACTGCCATTACCTCCCGCAAGAATGACTGCTCCAACTTCATGAAGACCACCGTGGTTCCCGACGCTACGTATGTTGCGAATTCGGATCCCAATACGGGACTCTCACTTTCCCCAAGCATTGATGAAGCCCAAGCTAACCCTGTCAAACAGCACCGTCACCGTCACCGTCACCGTTGACCCTGATGAGCCCGCTTCCCTGACCAAGCGTGATATTGAGTACCGTGCCGCTACTGAGGCGCCTACTGCCGTCCCTGCCTATGCTTCATCTTGTAATAACCCCGGCAAATACTCCTCTGCGTGCTCCTGCTGGGGCATCACCGCTGTTACCACAACCGCTCCCGTTCCCACCAAGACCGCTACCGTCACTGTTACTGCCGACTTTTGCGAGGACTTGTAAGCTGTTTCACAAAACTAGTTGGAGCAGACATGTGGGGTTTTGTTTGTTTTATATAAAGACCAAGTTTCGTTGTGTTTCACTGGGTTGGTTGTGCTTACTTGGCACCTAGCCCTCGACGACCCGTTTGGCCGTTGATGGGATTTATGAACAGATATGAAGACGGACAAGCGAGATCTGAGATGGCTTAGCTTAGATGGCAGATCTTCAGTCCAACTTGTTACACTGTTACACTGTAATACACAAAGAAATATACAGCCCAGGGTCTCAGGTCCTGGCATGTCAAACCAGACCCCACAGGTTCATCTTCCAATGGGTGATGATCCGGATACGGCGCCATGTGGCAGCGCCAATCACTCAACGTGTGGCACACAAGGCTCGCAGGGCTCAAGTTCATGGTTCGTTAGCATCTCGTGCATGAACAGCGATGTGCGCTACCCGAGGACCTATCGTTTCAAAACAAACGGATGACGGCTGTTGAAACTTCTGGATCAAGTCGAAATTACCACAGTAGTCTTGGGAAGCGCTTCTCGGCTCGCCAGGCCCCCTCTAATCATCAATTAGGTAGTTTAGTATCCAGGACTGTATCATGGTTTGTTACTTCGGTCGAGATGTTGACTTTCCATAGCGAGATTTTCGTAAGTGTTTTCGACGAGACATAGGTAACGAGATATTCGCACCATGATTACTCCGTATTGTCGATCATCAACGCGACCGCTCAGCCGCAGCCATTCATGCCTTGGGAAGTTTTATCGGAACAAGCAGCAAGACAAATTCACCCAACCATGATTTTCCATATCGCTTCACTGGCTGCACTGCTCACTAAAGACGTCGATCTGCGTCTACATCTGTGTCTCGGATCGCAGCGACCTGGTCTAGACCCATCGCAACCATTGTCACCATCATGATGCTCAGCGTCTAAGTTACCGCACCATTACCACCTGGTACCGCCCTCTGCTCGTCGCCCTGTTCAATCCCAGCATCCCCTTCCATCTTCGCTGTCGAACTCTGCTCCTTCAACCCATCACACTGCTAACCTACTCCATTAACGCCCTCCCCTACTTCTTCTCCCGGCCATTCACCGTCGAACACCTCCCCGTCTTCCCCTCACGCGCCGTCCGCGCCATCATCTTCAAACACCCCGGCACAGGAAAAGGCCGCTCCCTCCGGCCTCTACACGTCGAAATCCACGGCGGCTCCTTCATTGGCGGTCTGGCAGAGAGCAATGCACGCTTCGACGAGCGTCTCGCCAAGGAGACGGGCGCAGTGGTCGTCAGCATAACGTACCGTTTTGCACCTGAACACATCTTCCTATGCGCCATAGACGACGCGGACGCTACTATAAAATGGATCCAGGACCACGCTCAGAGTAGATGGGGCGCCGACGCTACCTTGATGACCGTCAGCGGGTTTTCCTGCGGCGGCAAGAACCTCGTTCAAAGCAGCCGTTGCATTTTACGGTGCCCTGGACCTGCGAATGGAGCCGGGAAAGAACCCAAACCCGCCAACTATCCCAAACCGGACCCATTGGAGTTTTTGTTGCCGCTGTTCGATGCGTATGCGCAGCTAGCGAGGGCGAAACACATGGATGATCCGCGGCTGAACCCCGTGCTGGCAAGGAGGGAGACACTTCCGGAGAGAATGCTGTTGGTGGTTGCGGCGATTGACATCTTGTATGCGGAGCAGATGGCGTTCAAGGAGAGGATAAATAACGAGGCAGAGGGGAATGTGGTTGAGACGTTTGTTGCGCGAGACGGATTTCACGGGTATTTAGAGGGTGAGTTGTTCATCATGATGGGTTCACCTGGGGCTTTTGCGAATGAACGTACTGCTGACGAGATTGGTTCCTGATGCGGTTGTTAAGAAGGAGGTCAAGGATGAGGCGTTTACGAGGGCGGTGGAGTTTTTGAAAAGGACTTATTCGCTTCATGGGTGGGCTTGGGCGTGAGATTGCCTGCCGCGAGACCCTAACCCTACCGTGCACTTGTGCGTCACGTCTGAGCGTGAGAGTGGCTTAATCACAAAGCCCAGCCCTACTTCACCCACCAACGGCAGTTTCGTGTACAATGCGGCATCTTCCGCCGTTGCCGATGCCTCGTATCGCCGCCATATGCCACCAGAAGGTTCTTTCTCGCCACAGGCGCAAGGGGTACCGACAGATGTCATGCCAAGAATAGCAAGAGTGGACTGCCAATAAGGCGAATAGTCAAAACGCCTCCGTTGACTATTTCTGCGTCAGCACCTCATGGGATATAGAGAGCAATGATATTCATTTAGTTGGGGGCACTGGAAGAGATGAGGCGGCGTAACATACCGGCGGCAGTGGCGCCGCGCCACTCCCGGGGGT